TTTGTATTTTCATGATGATACAATTATAATGTAACATAAAAATGTGATAATATGATTAAACAAAATTACACACTTTCTCAACAAAGATTTTTAAAAAATAAATTTAGCTCAACTTTTATCAGAAAAAAAAAAAAAAAAAGAGAGAAAAGAAAAGAAGAAAACTCCCTTAAATCAAATGCCCTAATTTGATTTTCAAAGCCATGGATTTACACAAAATGATCAGAGAAGGCAACATCTTAATTAATATTTAATGCTTCAAATCCCTCCTTATCTTGTTTCCCAAATTAATAGATCCAGATACATTGTCTTTCGGTTAGAAAAAAATCAATAAGGTGTCTTTTCTGTAAAATAACCCCCTCCCTAAATTCATTCAATTTCTCCATTACTCTTCCTTTTAATATTGTCAATTATCAGATTAATAAGATTCAAGTTTGCATCAATGCTGTCAATTTCCTCCCCTTCCCCACTCTAAAAATGTGAGCCAAAGTTTATTATAAGGTTTTTCTATACTGTGACTCTTAGGGTATAAAATAAGAATATATTTATTATATTTTTTAATTATAAATATATATATAACAAATGTAAAAATTGATATTAATTTTAATTAGTATCAGATGAATTTAATTAGATAGTTAATAAATTAAAAGTTAATTTTTATTTTTTAATATAAACTTATAAAAATACATATATTTAATATATTTTTAATCTATAAAGCAGAAATTAAAGATCCATTATTATTATTATTATTATTTCTTAAAGTTGTTTGTGAACAGATGTTCGGCAATCAGAACTTACTTTTGTGCAATCTGTGTGTTTACATCTGCCTCTATTTGTTTTCTTAAAAAAGTATAAGATATCATACTTTATATTCATAATGCTTTTTGCAGCATGCCTTACATAGGCTGTAGAATAATTAATTACTGATGAAAAAAATAAACCTTTAATATTAGAATAAAAAATTATTTAAAATTTTGATACAGTTTATAATACAAAATATAAATAATTACATAAAAATCTTTCTTTCAATTAAGGGTCTTCTTTTATATTTTAAATTATAAAATAAAATACTCATATTAAAAATCCTTTCTCTGATTAAGTAAATTCTAATATAGACTACATTTGACCCTTTTTTAAAAAAAATTTTTGTTTTATATATTTTATTAACACCAAACCATGGGACATTATTAAATTACAAATTGCCTGTAACCGCGTTTCCCAGATTCAAAGTTGCCGACTGTGTGTGAAATCCAGCGAAGTCCCCAATTCAATTGTTCTCTGGTTTTCGATCTGTTTCTTCTTCATCTGGGTTATCTGAGGAAGTTCAGAACATGGCGATTCAGCGGTTGGGCGGTGACGACGATCCCATCATCAGCGTCGTTGCGGAGCGGTTCTGTCTACCCTACGCGGCGGAGCTCCTCGTCAAGAAAAAGGTTCAGGCTTTCTCTAACGCACACTACGACGTGTACGACGCCACTGGAAATATCCTCCTTCAGATTGACGGCGGCGTCTGGAATCTCAAGCGGAAAAGGGTCATGCGTGATCCGGCCGGTTTACCGGTCCTCACAATGCGGGAAAAGGTATTTGACTAATTGAATTCGATTTAGAAATTAGTTAATCATGAAATGTTCATGATTCATTGAGGCATTTTATCAGGCATTTACATGGCGGCACCAGTGGCTGATCCATCAAGGGGAAGGATCGGACAGCAAGGATTTACTCTGCACCGTGCAAACGTCGCACGCCCTGCAGATCAAGAGACGGCTTGATGTGTTCTTGGCCGGAAATCAGACCAAAGATTGTGACTTCCATATAACCGGAAGCTTGTCTTCCCTGTCTTTCAAAGTCCACAAAGGCAACTCTGTCCTCGCAGAGGTACTAATTCAAAGAATCAAAAAGCCCTTACTCTTCAAAAATGCAAAATCTCTGTATTTACACTGTCTTCATGGGCCTTAAGTATTTCTTCATCAATCTTGAATCCTTACTGATTTTTAAGTTTTGGGTACCAACTCGATTAGGCTTTGATGAATCTCTGTAATGTTTGATTCTTCAGGTTATTCATAATTTTACATGGGGAAGCTTTTGTAAGGGGAAAGATAGCTTCACGATGAGGGTGCAGCCGGATGTCGACTATGCCTTCATTGTAGCATTAACGGTGATTATTCAAGAAAACGACAGTGGGTAGTGGATGATTCTTTTTGTATCAAGTTTTCCTTTTGATTGTTCGATTTCGATCTAAAGCTTTGTTATGTTTCTAGGAAGTTCTTGATCCGTGAAGAGGCACATGTATTGAGTATTGTTCACCTAGAAAGGGAACCAAACTTTTTCAAACCTAATAAACCTTCATATTTTTCAATTTTTGCTTTGACAATTTCGCAATGGACTTCACAAATGTTCAAGCTTTTCTCTCTTTCTTTAAACAACAGGCTGTAAACAGAAATGGGTCGGAAAGTTCAATGGGTCATGGGCTAGTTTTCAGGTCCATGAATGAAGCATAGGGCCATAGGCTTCAACTTGGCCTCTCCAAATGCATAAATATCTGAATTTGATGATGAGATCCAGCACCAATGACACTAATAGATACAGGACCATTTCAGAAGGTCACCCTGTTTTTGGGATACACTCAAATTGTCCATTCCATCAATCAGAAAATTACAGGAACTGGTGAAATGACAGAAGAAGTGGACTTGATAGGATTAAAGATAAAAGGAGGTGTGAAACAACAAATAACTATGAAATTAGATAGTGATTATGAATAGTATATATTAATGCAATTATCAAATAACCAACATAAACCATCAAAGATAATTAATCTCCCACTTTCTTCAACGAAAGTGAATGAGAGTAGTTGCCACGAAACATGTCGATACAACATTGTATCCTGTTGGTCTTCAATTCTTCATATCACAACATTGAAAAGCACAAAATGTAAAGATTCTCCTTTCTCATACATGAAAACAAATGGCACATTTTTGGATGACAAGTTTAATAAACTTGAATTAGTACTCACTAACTTTAAAATTATTCATTTTGATGTAGATACAGGAATCATATTCGAGTACGGTAATTAAGAATAACTTCATTTTACAGATAAAGAAATGGCAAGTTCAATTGATTCGAATTAACATATTAATATAAAAATCTTTCATTCTGATGTAAAAAATATAAAATCATATTCGTGTGCAATACTTAAGAATAACTTCATGTTGTAAATAAATGGATAACAAGTTTAGTTAACTCGAATTAGTATTTATTAACATCAAAATCATTGATTCTAACGTAAAAAATATAGAATTATATTCGAGTATAATATCTAAGAATAATTTCATTTTGCATATAAAAGAAGAAGAGAATATTTTTGGTATATAAAATCTCTAAAGAGAGAAATGGTGTATAGTAGTGGGTTCATATGCTAAAATTTGGGCAACTTCCAACATCTTTCTGCCTAATTATCTCTTGTTTGTGCAATTTTTTTGGATAATGACGTGAATCCAAAATAACCAGTCCTAGGGATTTGGAATAACATCCAGGTGAGATTCTTCAGAATGTCTATACTTATTCTTCTTTTCCCATTGCTTTTATTTCTAAAATTGATGTAAAATATGCCCAACAAATAGTGAAGAATAATAGAATATAACTTATGCTTTGAAGAAATGTTCTTTTGGACCCTAATTCTGCCATCAGCTGAAAATAACAGCAACAAAAAAACAATACAAAAAGGAAATTTTAATTTAAGAGCATATATAGATTCAGACTTCCTTGTGTGAGATTAGAGCGCATGATTATGCATAAATAGAAAATAAACGATGAGGAAACTGGTATCTGTTTGACATGATCTGGATTATTACATATCACAATATTTCATAAATATAATTTGACAGTGTAGTACTGACATGAAATCATAGTTGTAGTTTTTTCATATTTTTAATATTTTTAAAATATATAAAATATATTTACTATATTTAATATTTATTTTTATTAACATTTTATATATTTTTTAAATAAAAAATATAAAAATTTAAAGATAAAGCATTAAAAAATATTATCAAACCTAGCCATAATTATCATTCATTATTGCGAGTTTAACTAGTTTTGATCGAGTTAACTCTTCATCAAGGTTTTCACACACATCCAAACATGTGACCTTTATGGTTTCATATTGAACTGATCAAATTGCCCACGAACGGTCCATTTTTCAAAACATTGAATTTTTTATTTGACCAGTCATAAAATAGTATAGAGATAAGGCACATCAATAAAAAAGATTAATTATCCAACACTTAGTAATTCAATGGTCATCTCTTATCGGACATACTTAGAACTAAAGAGCTTGTGATCAAATCCCAAGCTCCCTTCCCCGTTCCTCCTTCCCCCCCCCCAAAAAAAAAGAATTCCACACTGTTAAAAAAAAATAATAATTAGACAATACTTTGACAAGAATGATTATATCCATACTTAAAAGTTTTAAATTCATATAATTCTCTATATATTAAATTTTAAAATATTAATTTAATTTTAAAATATTAATTTAATTACATATTTTGATCTTCGATTCAATGATATCAAGTTACGTATAAATATATTTTTCTTTCCTTCAGAATAACCGTTTGAATTCGATCCCTTACGAATTTGTTCAAAAAAATTAATTTAATTATTAAAAAC